TATTTTATTATATTTACTGGCTTCTATGTACAATATATTTAGTGGGTTCTATGTGCCATATATTATTTTATTATATTTACTGGCTTCTATGTACAATATATTTAGTGGGTTCTATGTGCCATATATTTACTGACTTTTATGTACCATATATTTACTGACTTTTATGTACCATATATTTAGTGGGTTCTATGTGCCATATTATTATTTTATTATATTTACTGGCTTCTATGTACAATATATTTACTGGCTTATTGTACCATAATAACTCAGCGCATAAAACGATTCACATCTAAAAGGCGCTGCCCTAACATTTCTTTTAATGTAAACATCTAAATGGCCACGCCCCGTATGATGTGATCTGTCAATCTTGTTCAACAAAACGAATAACCATTAAATGAATGCCAATAAAGTGGGTCATAAAGGGGGAGACTACAACAGACCGATTCCATTAAATTATTCTAATATTGAAGATGAACGTCTATCAAGATCGATATGAACACGCTCTTACCCCGGGAAGTGGCGCTGTTTCAATGGCATGCTCTACACGAAGTTACGATGCACCCTCGGTCGACGAATGCTATTATGTCGACTAGTGGGATTGGGTCGACGAATGAGATTGGGTCGGTGAATGGGATTCTGTCGAAACGATTTTGTCGCATAGGAGTAATCCAAATACAATATATCGTTTATAAAATAGTGTTGACAGGCGTGTTCGCATATAATGAGAACCGCTAACTTAGAGTACAATGTTTTTACCATATCTTTCTCTTGCTCTACGCAGTAATATAGAAATGAATCGGTTGGTCAAGGACCAGGGTGAACAACCTTAATGCCAAGCCAACTGCCAGCCCTATCGACAACCATATCCCCATACCAATTGCCAACCCTAAAGCCAACACGTTGTCAACACTATCACCAACCCCAATGCCAACCCGATCGCCAACCCGATCGCCAATCCGATCGCCAATCCGATCGCCAACCCGATCGCCAATCCGATCGCCAACCCGATCGCCAACCCGATCGCCAATCTCATTGCCCATCCTATAACCAACCCCATCGCTAACCCGATCGCCAACCCCATTGCCTATCCTATCATCAACCCTATCGCCAACCCAGCTGCCAACCCCATTGCCAATCCTATCGCCAACCCTATTGCCAACCTTATCAAAAACCCTATCCCCCAACACTATCGCCAACCCTATCGCTGACCCATGACCAACTCCATCACTACCCTATCACCAACCTTATCATTAACCCTATCACCAACCCAATCACCAACGCTATCACCAACCCTATCGCCAACCCTATCACCAACCCTATCACTAACCTTATCACCGAACCTATCGCCAACCCTGTCGTCAACCCAATTGCAAACCTTATCACCAACCCTATGCCAACCCTATCACCAACCCAATCGCCAACCCTATCACCAACCCTATCGCCAACACTATCACCAACCCAATCATCAACACTATCGCCAACCATATCGCCAACCCTATCGCCAACCCTGTCACCAACCCTATCGCCAACCCAATCGCCAACCCTATCACCAACTCTATCGCCAACCTTATCGCCAACCCTATCACCAACCCTATCACCAACCCAATCGCCAACCCTATCACCAACCCTATCGCCAACCCAATCACCAACCCTATCACCAACCCTATCGCCAACCCTATCACCAAGGGATAGCGGTTGGGATAGTGGTTGGGATAGCGGAACCCTATCACCAACCCTATCACCAACCCTATCGCCAACCCTATCACCCACCCTATCGCCAACCCTATCACCAACCCTATCGCCAACCCTATCACCAACCCTATCACCAAACCTATCGCCAACCCTATCACCAACCCTATCGCCAACCCAATCACCAACCCTATCGCCTACCCTATCTTTTAGATTTTTTTTTCCTTTAATGCTTATCCTTAGAAGGGGGTGCCAAAGTTAAGCTAGCACGAGGCGCCGGCCTCAGTCGGACCGGCCCTGCACGTAGGAGGCGTCATCACAGTTTGCTGAGTTTAGAGGGACCGTCGTTTCGTTCTAACCCGGCACATGTCTGAGGTGGGTGACATTTTATCACTAGCTGACCTCACTCAAGGGGTTCAATCACGGCCGATTAAGTAACATATGTCTGCGTATACTGGTTGCAATCCGGGATCTCCGAAATTCGGAAATACAGGAATACCGGACCATAATTGATGCTCGAAAAAACCGGGATTGGATTTGGGAAAATCAGGATTTTCTATAATCCCGGGATTTCATTTTCAATTTTTTTGAAAAATCGTTACTCTTAGTTTCCAGGTCGTAGTTAAAGCAAGACAGATCGATAATTGATGAGATTTGCCAATCCCTCACACCACGTGTCTCAAGTTCAAAGAGAAGGTACAGGATTGGCAAGAAATGTTTTCATATTATTGACAAATAAGTCATTGGTATAGTCGAATGGAGATCGAATTTTGACTTCCATTAAGAGTTTATATGGAAATAATAACACGTTGCCCTCAAATCAT